TAAAATTTAATGTGCCTAACTATTTAAGTACATCCAGAATAATACACAAGCACCAAGAAATGACCTCGAAAACCCAACGTTATTTCTTGGTGCTTTTCCTCTTCCTCTTCCTTGCCTGAGTCTACTAACTCCTGTAGATCCTCCTCGGTCAGCTCAGTGTCGTGCTCTTCAATTAGCTCCCTAATCTCGTCCTCTGCCATGTCCTGGAAGCCTTCAGCAGCCACTTTCCTTGACAGTGCCAGGGTCTTTCTGAATATTTTCATTAAAATCCATCAAAATCATTTTCCTTGTCATCGTCTTAAGCACCAAACAGCTCCTCCCAGTCTTCTCCTTGAACAGGGCTAGAGGGTACGTGTTTTTTGAATCGTTTTCAATTAAAAAAATGTTACAGCACATGTATATTTTACCTAAACTGTGCCTGAATGAATATATTCTCAGAAATAAATAGTAGTTTTGCTGAAACGTGATGTATTTCAATGTAAAATAGGATAAAATACATGACGAAAACAAGAGACTTTACCTAACCTTCCGATGTTCAAGATATGTTACTCATTTTTTTAGTAGTTTTCGGTTAAAATACTCTTATATTAGTGATATTCTATTCATACTGTGCTTGATATAATACATTCACGGAAATGTAATATTTTTGCAACTACAATGCTGATGTCATCACAAGCGTGGCTACAGCGAGACTGACTGAGTGAGGGAGAGCTATGCGTGTGTGTGAGGTTGCGGGAGCGGGCGGTGTCCCGTTTTCGGTGCCGCGCGCGAGTTGAATAGCGTGCGATTTGAATGTACTTCAATTACTTCAATGTACAGAATATTCCTCCAGCGGGGCAATCCGCGTACAGTGAGTTCTGCTATAACGCGTGTTTTGATAACGCGAATTTGCTCTAACGCGATTTATGAATTCGGAACAATATTTGTATAACGCGATCGCTTGTTTGCTATAACGCGATTTTTGCTTACTATTTCTCCAATTTTGTGGTATTAACTGTGAATATGGTAAAGAAGAATATCTCCAAAAAGCATTCTGATGATAGAATTCCCGGTGATTATCGTAAAAGAAAGGATATAACACTTGAAGAGAAGCTTGATGTTATCAACCTCAAAATCACCCTTCTCCCCCATCAAGTTACATTCATATTTTTTCAAGGTAAAGTGTTAAATTTACTGTATGATTTCATTATTAGATATGAATGTAACATTTATTTAGACTGTGCTATCCTTTGTGTTAGGCTAACTACTAAATTTTTTCGATTTCGAGTAATCTGCACCTAACCCTATTTTCTCCATAAGCCCTGTTATTTCTATTACGCGATTTTCTATAACACGATATTTTACAAGAACACAATTATCGCGTTATAGCAGAACTACCTGTATTTGCAAATCTCTGTATTATAAACCCGCGTATGTTAAGGGCCGACTGTATACTGTACTGTATAGCAATATTTTTTTTATTTCGCGAGGGAAATCGGGCAGAAAATATTTAAAATGTACCGCCATGGCAAACAAATGAGTTACTTGCTCACCAGAGGCGCCACCATGGCTCCCACACTCAGTCTTTCTGAGTGACGAGAAAGCAGCCGACTCTGCTGCAGATTACGACTTCTAAGGTGAGTGTAAATGGGTTGCTAGTGACGTGAAAAGTGAAGTGAAGTTAATGGAAAGCTTAATGGAAAAGATTTTATACTGCAACTAATATTTTTGGTGTTCGTTTATGTAGGTGTGGGATTGTCAAGTGAGGGTGGCAGTGTGGCGTCTACTGCCGAGTCTGGTGTTCCCAGGATGGTGTTCCTTGATATTGAGATTGAAATAGCCAGTTGTTATGTTAAGTTTAGTCACTTTCTTGGCCTCCGGAACCTAACCTTATTTTCCCCATTGATTACATGTAATTATATATCGTGATTTAGTATACAGCGAACATCGTTGGACCCTATCTCGCGATATATCCCGACCCTCCTGTACAGTATTTTAAGACATTTTGGGGGAGCTTTATTGTTGGGATGTATCTAAGCTTTTATTATGGGAGTCTATGGGAAAAAAATTTACTTATGAAATATTTGTCAGAAATGGAACCCATTCATAAATTGTTGACTGCCTGTATTTGAAGTTGACTGGATTTTTCTTTGGCATGAATATTATATAGAGAAATTTGCTGACACCTTAGTGAACACATTAAAAGATTTTTAAGGATCACTTTTTGACTACAGTATATAGTACTGTAATATATAAGCAGCTTGAAGAATGAATTCAGTGTGTTCTGAGACACTGGCAGTGCAGGTGCATTTATTATCTGTTTGGGGATGAAGAAAAGGAAATAAAAGAACCATTAATGAACCAAATAACCATGAATGTATAAAGGAACCATTAACAGAAGAATGACTACCTTAATGATTAACTTAAACCAACCACTTGACTTTTTCTCTTCAAAACACTTGTTATTAAAACTCAATTAATGACAGATTCTAAAATTTATTGTAAAATATATGTGGGGCCAGTCCAGATTATTTACATGCAATACGGCATGTCTATTGGAGTACTGTACTGTATGTGGCAAGCTGTAAACATATCTCAGAAAAATCACCGTACAAAGAAAGGGTTTGGATGAAATTATTATATATTACTTTGTTTGTATATATTATATGTTCTGTTATTATACACTTATGAGGCACAAGATTCACTTATACAATTTAGTTGCATAAGAAAAATAAAAGGAATAAATTTCTCTTGCCTATATATTTTCACACAACAATAAAGTATTAAAAAGTTATTGATTAGCCTTCGGTACACCTTTTCACATATCCGTTGAGACATTGTTACATAACTATTAGACAAATTTCATAACCGAATGACAGAACACATATCGAATGACAATCTAAAATAACTGTTCGTTCATGCTAACGGAAGTGATTGACATAAGTTATGAAGTTGACAGACGTGAACAATAAACCGACAGTCTACATATAGTTTGAAAATGTAACAATTGGAGAATGACATACCACCAACAGTTATTTTAGATTGTCATTCGATATGTGTTCTGTCATTCGGTTATGAAATTTGTCAAATAGTTACGCAGCAATGTCTCAACGAATATGTGAAAAGGTGTATTATGGATCTATTTACACTATAATTAAGTTACTAAAAAGCAGAGGCAAGTCTGTGTTGCTGTATGAAAGGCCTTGAAATAGCAATACAGGAAAATAAGATGAAAAATGCGTGATAGGTCACCACATTAACAAATTATAAAAATTAAAAACTTACTCACCATTAAAAGAAATTCCTTCTTTTCTTGTCTTTACAACACAACAAAGTGCTTAATTTTGTTCTATTTAAATCTTGAAAATTACAGTATACTGTACAGTAATTTTGTTTAACTGTTTTCCATAAAATCGATTTCCCAAAAAATATCAATGCAGTTTGGCCACAATACATATCATTTCCAGATATCCTCACTGATATGTACAACTTTTTAAATATAACTGACCCAGCCACCTCTGAAACCTATATCGCAATATTAATGACCGAGACCTTCACTGTCAAACACTTTCAACTGCTATGTCACAAGAATGGTCTCCTTTACAGCTGCTCGTATTTTATATTTCCTAGTTTATTTATATTTTTTTCATCTCCCCCCCACCCTATTTTCCTATCATGTTTTTTGTAAAGACAGACAGATATATGCAACATCACCCAAGAATATGTGATGAACCTCTACATGATCACATTGGTAGCTGGTTCAAATCTTCCAACTTATCATAATCTCCTTCACCATTGCCATTGCTGCTGCCTCCATTATTTCTCTCAAAGAAGTCCTTTTCAATCACCCGGCAGAGTTTCACTAAATTGCCAAATGATCGTACAATGGTTGCCAATCGGTTGTCTGGCAGTGGGGTTGTTAGAAGAGTGAAGAGATGTCCAAACACCAAAGCATCAAGTTCAGTTGGGCTGTAAATACAAAATAAAATACTATTATAATTTTCCCAGGTAAAAATAAAGTAGATTAGTTAAAAGCCAGAGCTACTGTGAACCAGACTAAGTTACTAATGTATAAATAAACAAAAGTTTTTCATGGATTTAACTCCCTTATAAATCATGGGGCTGCTGTAACTATAAGTTAGGCTTACATTGATGTTTAAGTTATGTTTTTGAACATCCAGTGTATTAAATGTTGGTCAGGTATGAAATGTGGAATTATGCAGGTAACAAAGCTGGAATTATATTTTGAAATGCTGTACATTATTTATCATAGCTAGATATTAACACATTTCTGTACACTAATAAATACGAATACTTAGAGATAACAACTTAGATATTATTCCTCCATTTACTATTAAATCTCCTTGAGACTACTCCTCATCATACAGAGGTAAGCATCCCCAAGAAAAATATTTCTTACCTGTTACCAAAGAAGAATTCGTGCTTGTCTAAGCGCTCGGAAAGAGCACTACAGCAATGCTCCACTTCATTATACACCTTATGAGAAAAGTTACACATTAGAAAGAAATAGCAAAGATATGAGTATACTGTACAGTAGGGGGCAGTGAAATTTTGCTCAAAGCTGCACTCTTCAGGCATTGTTCCTTATACATATCTAAGACTCCATGCCAAATTTGAAGCTGATATGTCGAGGTTTAGTCTGCCGCATTTTCTACTGAAATTTTTAAATTTACCTACAGTACTAGCCAAACAGCCGCTGTGGCGGTGCAATGTTCTGTTCAGTGTTTATCAACTTTTTTTCATATCTCTTATTTCATTTAAGTTGTCTTGTTGCAGATGAGTATGGTGCTATGTCTATATTGATTATCAGCCTTTTCTTATTTCATTTCTCAATGTTGTGTTACTGTACTGTAATGTAGGGGAGACCTGGGTAAGTAGCTGCCATTGCTACTGCCACCTTAACTGACTATGGCATTATCACAAAGGATGACAAGAGTCAGGTTATTGGACCACATAAGCTGCGGGATGCGAGACAAAAATACCGATTTAAGAGGCAAGAAATTGAGATGGCTAGTTTAGATAATTTGACGTCACTCTATTTTGATGGTAAGAAGACCGCCACTCGTGTGATGATAAAGAATGAGAAGACCGAGAAATGGAGTTCGAGGATGATGGTGAAAGATCATTATGTCATCATGGTTGAGCCTGGCAATGAATATCTCACACATGTGACTCCCAAGACTGGACACGGAAAGCAGATTGCCAAAACTATTCACGAGTTTCTGGTGGAGAAAAATCTAACCCAGCAGCCCATTGTGTGTGTTGGTTGTGATGGAACCAATGTAAATGTAGGATCAGAAAATGGAGTCATTCATCATCTTGAAATGTTACTTGGTCACCCGCTCCATTATTTCATATGTCAGCTTCACGGAAATGAGCTGCCTTTCCGCGCAGTTTTTTATCACTATGATGGTAAACCAAGTGGTCCTGAGCATTGGCGTGGTCCCATTGGAAAGCAGATCAAGGAGTCTTTGTCTGAGCTTCCAGTTGTCGCCTTCCAGCCAGTCAGTTTCCCTGATTTCCCTGTGTTTAATGATGAAGTGGAGAAAGATCTGTCCTGGGATCAGAAATACCTGTATAGGATTTGTAAAGGAGTTATCACAGGTGTTGTTGAAGATGACTTGGCTGCTATTGAGCCAGGTCCTCCCTGTGTGTCAAGGTGGAACACCTTATGGAGTAGAATCCTCAGGCTGTATGTAGCAACATCAAGACCCAGCCATGAGTTGAAAAGAATTGTCATTACAATAATAAAGTTCAGTGCTCCAATGTGGTTTTACATCAAGATACACCCTTACGTAACACACGGCTCAAGGAACGTATTCCAGTCCCTGCTATATATGAAACACCTGAATAGTGAGGAGGAGACGATAGTGAAGAAGGCTGTCCAGAGAAATGCATACTTCGCCCACACAGATCAACTTCTTCTTGGTATGTGTGCAGATGAGGACATGACTGTTAGAGAAAAAGCTGTCTCAATGATAAGAAAAATTAGAGAGGAGAATCAGCAAAAGGAAGAATGCACTGGCAGATCTGAAGAGGAGGAGGAAGATTCTGATGCTGCTGTTGACGAGAATTTGTTAAACTATACTGATGAGGAGGGTAAAGATGGAGATGGGAATGAGGATGTGCCTCCTGTAGTCAACATGAGAAAGGTGGTGACTCCGAAACTAAAGTGACAAGCAAAAAACTATCATTCCATGATTAACTGGAGGAATGAACTCAAGACTGAGCCTCCTTACATTGCTTCTCTGTCAAATCTACAGGTTAATGACATTCTTGAGACACCATTAGTGGTGCCCAAGTGGCCAAACAGCACTCAGGCGGTCGAGAGAGGCATAAAAGTGATGACTGAAGCTTGCACTGAAGTGACGGGATACGAATCGAGAGATGGATATATTAGGCAAAGATTATTGTCTAGGAAAATGATGCCAAGGTTCCGCACAAAAAAGAATTTCAATATGAACTTGTAATGATTTTCTATACGGTGTACCTGTAAAATAACATGTGAATTAAATCGATGTCACCCATGTAAAATTTATCATTATCCTGGAAAACATTAAATGACACCTAATTTTTGGTATACACTAAAAGTTGACAAAAAGTCGTTCGCGATGCGGCAGGGTAAGTATGCATGAAATGGCATGAAATTTTGCACAGGTGTTTGTTACAGCCATACAAACGATGCCTGAAAAGTGCAGCCTGCAACTCAAATAAAAGTGTTTTTTCCCTGCCCCCTACTGTACAGACATTTAAATATCTGACTATAAAATATCTATTACAGCAATACAGTATGGTCAAAATGTGGTTGAAGGTTCTGTATAGGTATTGCACTGTACAGTATTCCAAATGTATTATGAATATTAAGTTTTGTGGATGGTATACCATTCTTGCTACCCCAGGACTGTAATGGTGCTTGTACATTATTTTTTCAATGTTTGTGAAGTTATTCATCATCTTGCTTTCACAAAGATGTTTATCATTGTTAGCAGCCAATAGGATGTGTATAATGTTAATGCTAAATGAAAACATGTAAAGTACTGTATTTCTTATATTTATAATGGACGTATATTGTATATCACATATTATGGTGAGTACAGTAAACATGTATTTCTTCTAGTGTTTGTTATTTCTAATTCTTTCAGTATTCATATTTCATTTTATATTACTGCTTCTTATCTGATAGTAAGTAATAAGCTGTGAGTTCCTCCACTCCTGCCACATGAGTACAGTACTGTCTGCTCTCAAACAACTCGGCACCAATAATAATTTCACTTACTGTTCATCTAATGTCTGGCAGTATAATATTTCTTATTGTGTAATCTTGTTTTTATTAATTGGATGTATGAACTATGCAGTACATCCAGTAAAAAGGTATATGCTTACAAACGCCAGGGGTAAAGTTAAAATGAGTTATCCGAGCACAAAATTCAGTTAAGATATGAAGATAATGATTCTGAACTAACACTCAAAACAACATTTACCTCCTCCAGGGACTTCTGCTTCCACCCAAGAACACGCAAGCGTCGTGTGACTTGATTATGCTTCTGGTTTGTTAGAATACGGTTAATTGGCCATGGATAGACAGACCCAAATCGCGGTTTTGTTACCTCTTCAAATGTTACTTGATCAATCCATGAAATGTATAACTGAAACAAATACAGTACAGGTAAAATGTAAAAAATATAGAGTACATGTTCTGTACTATACTTTAAAATTTACAGTACTGTATAGTACAACATTGGTAAAAAAAAAGTATATTATTAGGAAGAGACTGGAAAGATATATTTCTCCCCCCTAATTGTCTGGATATTTTGGGAGTGACCTGTGTTTATATAAGGAAACAGAGATTTAGTTTTACGATGAGTACTAACTTATACAAGATATTAATTACACATAATCTCCTCAGTGGACATGTTAACCCAATACTAATGGAGTGCTAACCCAGAACAACCCTTGAAGAAATTAACCAACTTAAATATGGTGAAAACAATAATTACTTTAAGAGAATAGTATCATAGCTAACTCTGCTTCTTCATCTAAAGAATATGGGGCAATACTTTGGTTTTGGAATGGCTAAATGGGAAGGTGGTTTTGTATCCAAGTTCTTTTATAAACTTCATATGTGATTTTTTCTTTAATGGTGTCTTTTTCATTTTGTTCAGTACCCTGAGTGTCTAGTGGTGATGATTGTACAAGAGGCACTGAACTGAGTCATTGGATGGTCTAAGGTTACCCTGATCCCCTGAACAACACTGGGGTAGTCTGTGGAGTTATGGGAGTTTGTAGGGCCAGTTATTTGAGCCCTTGTGTATATTTACTGTAGCAAAGTTAATTCCCTGAGTGGGTTACATAGTCACAATAGCACTTTGAACACTTTCACACCTCCTCTCCTATATGTAGTTACCTTCACTTATGAGTTACATGGAAAGGGAGGGAGGGGGGGTAAGGCCATAAATGAAGAATTGCTTCTGAAATCCCATTTTATAAAAGACCCAAGACCAGGTGACTCATGTCCGTCTCTCCTCCCTTGGGGGTCACAGCAAAGTCAGTTGGAGGTGGGGGTCGGGCCCTGTACAGCATTCCTGGCTGGTGGCTTTGTCTGAAGTGGAAGTCATACTGCTAGTGTGATGTCACAATTAATTTACGTCCAGTTGTCTGTGGATATGGTACCAACAGGGAGGTACTGCATAAATAATCAATAAACTAGAATCAGCTGGCATCACCACGAGGTGTCTTGGGTACTGATACCACTGACCTGTCTGGGTATTACAACACTTACTTGGTCTTGACTGGTTTATAAAATGGAATTTCTGGAACAAATTGTAGTCAATATGGCTATAATAAGTTTTACACATTTACATCTTAAAAAATACTGTATTTATAATTCTTAATGTATAAGACATGACAATAACAATTTTGATATAATAAAGGCTATTACAGGTTTTAATCATTATCAAAACAAATACCTGTACTGTACTGTACTTCATTAATTTTTTATTAGTATTATTATCAAGACATTTATTATTATCTTCACCAATACCTACTGTACAGGTATTGTATATACAGTACAGTATATCATAAATTACCTGAGTAAGCGCAGTGTATCAATAACTACTTGAACATCTTAAGAAAACTGCAATTTGTAAGTAACCTGTGTCTTACCTCAGCATTTGCCAAAACGTTGCTGACAAGTGACATGTAGGCTCTCATATCTGCCTTCTGTGTGGTGTCCAGCCCCTCTGTCAGTGTCACACCCTGCCAAACACATTGATATTCAACTTGTGGCTTTGAAACTCAATTAAACCATCATTTGCAAGGGATTATTAATCTATTGGTTGACTATAAGAAAAAGGGTTACACTGTACTGTACTGTGTAACTCTGTCCCAATGAAACATACTGTACTGTACTCCTTACATCCACTCATCTCTCACCTTCCTATCTCTCTTCTCTCAATCTTCCTTTCCTTACTGCTCTCACTCATCTACCCTCATTTACTCTTACCTCTCCCCTTCATTTTTTCTCCTCACCCCTCTCCCCTTTGCTTCTCCCCCTCATCTCTCCTCTCGCCCGTATCTCTCCCTCTCCCCTTGGTTATCCCCCTCACCTTATTCGCGACAAAGGCTACAATGGGGTCCAGTTCTGCTACCACAAATGCACCCGCCTTGATGAAGGGCACACGACCTGCAATACACAAGTAGATTAGTAAACACACTGATTTAAAATTTAATTAACCATTCATTCTTGTGGTAATTAGTCATACAAAGTACTGAACTTTATAATTACTCAAACTAGGTAATTAGCCACTGATTATGGGTATTAAGTATGTAGTATTTAATAACAGTCTCCCACCAAAAGTATTGTTAGCCATGGGATTGATGTGATTCGAGGTTTTCTGAGCAATATTACTCGACCTGTTTCTGAAAGGTTGGTGGTTTTACATTTGCGACCTTTGAGCATGAATGAGTATAAACATTTTTGAACGATACATGGATTAATATACCTAAATGGATTTTTTGTTATACAGGGTACTATATTGAAGTATCTAGTATATGCCATACAAGGATGACTCCCTCCCCAAATCCTACCTCCATCTCTAGCTGTTGCTGATATGGTGAGCAGGCATACCAACTTACGATGATGCACTGGGGATCATATCAAAGCATTTCATCTAGCGTTTCAATTTGCAGCGACGGAAAATCTAATGACACTTTTATGGGGGACTGTACACTCAGCCACACACACACACCCTCCAAACATGGACACTCAGCCCCTCAACTCACACACACACCTTCCAAGCATACACACTTAAACCCCCCCACATGCACAAACACACCCATCCATCAAAGCGTATTTTTGAAGTAAATCGATATTTTGTTGGAAAGTCAAAACTTACATGTTTACATTGTAAAGATAGTCTATATTTATACGAAAATGTATACCAAGGTTATTTATAACTTACAGGCACAGCGTAATTGACTTTTTAAATCTAATTATTTCAAGGGCCATTAATTAAAACTAATTTCTCTAATTTTTAAATTGTGAACCCAGATCCTTAATCAGCAGGTGAGAGTACTGCACCTTTTCATGAAATTTTAATAAAATCTATGTTTAGGAAAGTGAACACTAATGCGTTTAAATGGTAGTTATTCTAAGTATACAAAAAAATGTATATAAAGGTAATTTAAAACCTACAGCCACAGCGTAATTGAAGTTTTAAATATTTTTGTCTTAATTTATTTTAAATGTTAACTTGCCACCCATTCACAAATGACACTTGGAGGCGGGAGCCGGGATATAGTGTGTGAAACGTCCTATGGGGTTACTGGCAATTCATTTCCCCGCCGCCAGTGAGAGCGTTTGTGCCGCCATGCGAGACCTACAGTGCTAGTCATGGAGAAATTATGACTAGCAAAAGAGTGTCAGCCACGCACACGTACCTACCCTCCCACCTATCATGACGTCACTACTAAAGAATCTTAAACTTTAACATCCGAAGTTAATATGAATACATTTTACACTCAACTACTGAGGGTTGGGGGAGACTATTGAGGGTTGGGGGAGACTATTGAGGGTTGGGGGAGACTATTGAGGGTTGGGGAAGACTATTGAGGGTTGGGGAAGACTATTGAGGGTTGGGGGAAGGCTATTGAGGGGTGGGGAGACTATTGAGGTTGGGGAGACTACGAGGGTTGGGGGGCTATTGAGGCCGATGAAGATTATTGAGGGTTGGGGAAGACTATTGAGGGTTGGGGGAGACTATTGAGGGTTGGGGGAGACTATTGAGGGTTGGGGAAGACTATTGAGGGTTGGGGAAGACTATTGAGGGTTGGGGAAGACTATTGAGGGTTGGGGAAGACTTTTGATGGTTGGGGAAGACTTTTGAGGGTTGGGGAAGACTATTGAGGGTTGGGGAAGACTATTGAGGGTTGAACTGAATTTTTGAATTGAAACAATTTATTTAGCCAGAAGAACACAGATACAGAGTGGATAATAATAACAATATTAACATGGCTGAGCCAGTTGAGAACCTGAGCTCTCCTGTAGGCACCTGATATATACTATACCGGTACATGTAACTCAAGGAAGTAAAATGTAACATTTAGTATCAACTGGAATAGTACACATAGCTTGGTGGTAATAAGAACATCTCATAATGTTACTACGGTTATCACTTCAATATATTTATTGCAATGGTAATTTCTTATGTATTTACATGATAATTTCCGATAAAATGGGTTTGATGGTACAATAAAAGGAGGTACTGTGTATATAGTAGGTATTACAAGAAATATTAATGCTTAGACAATAGATATTTTTTAAGAGATGATTTAAAGGAAGGGAGCGTAGTCTTTGCTCAGATGGGGGGTGGGGGTAAGTTGTTCCACACCTTCACACCATGATATTTTATGGAGGTCTGGGACTGAGAGGAGCGCATGGGGGGGTGGTCTTAGTTGCTCTGAGTGCCTTAAGTTGTATCTCTGATTATTCCGGAACTGGAAATAATTTTTGTCAAGCAAGTGATTGATAGATGTGTAAACAAAGAGGGCACAGCAGGTGTTAATATCTTCGAATTTTAAAATTTTCAATTTAGCAAATTTTTCGTTTGTGTAATGTTTTTTTTTTTTTCAAATACTGTAGATCATTGTCCGTACCGTACAAATCTCTTTTGTGCAGCAGTAACCAGGGATTGGGGAAGATTACTGAGGGTTGGGGATGAGCAGTACTATTTTTGATTTGGGAAGGATTGGGGAGGATAATAGTGTGTATTTTCATGTTTTTATTTATATTAAAAACGAAGAGAGAGAGAGAGAGAGAGAGAGAGAGAGGAGAGAGAGAGAGAGAGAGAGAGAGAGAGAGAGAGAGAGAGAGAGAGAGAGAGAGGAGAGAGAGAGAGAGAGAGAGAGAGAGAGAGAGAGAGAGAGAGAGAGAGAGAGAGAGAGAGAGAGAGAGAGAGAGAGAGAGAGAGAGAGAGAGAGAGAGAGAGAGAGAGAGAGAGAGAGAGAGAGAGAGAGAGAGAGAGAGAGAGAGAGAGAGAGAGAGAGAGAGAGAGAGAGAGAGAGAGAGAGAGAGAGAGAGAGAGAGAGAGAGAGAGAGAGAGAGAGAGAGAGAGAGAGAGAGAGAGAGGAGAGAGAGAGAGAGAGGGAGAGGGAGAGAGAGAGAGAGAGAGAGAGAGAGAGAGAGAGAGAGAGAGAGAGAGAGAGAGAGAGAGAGAGAGAGAGAGAGAGAGAGAGAGAGAGAGAGAGAGAGAGAGAGAGAGAGAGAGAGAGAGAGAGAGAGAGAGAGAGAGAGAGAGAGAGAGAGAGAGAGAGAGAGAGAGAGAGAGAGAGAGAGAGAGAGAGAGAGAGAGAGAGGGAGAGAGAGAGAGAGAGAGAGAGAGAGAGAGAGAGAGGGAGAGAGAGAGAGAGAGGAGAGAGAGAGAGAGAGAGAGAGAGAGAGAGAGAGAGGGAGAGAGAGAGAGAGAGAGAGAGAGAGAGAGAGAGAGAGAGAGAGAGAGAGAGAGAGAGAGAGAGAGAGAGAGAGAGAGGGAGAGAGAGAGAGAGAGAGAGAGAGAGAGAGAGAGAGAGAGAGAGGAGAGAGAGAGAGAGAGAGAGAGAGAGAGAGAGAGAGAGAGAGAGAGAGAGAGAGAGAGAGAGAGAGAGAGAGAGAGAGAGAGAGAGAGAGAGAGAGAGAGAGAGAGAGAGAGAGAGAGAGAGAGAGAGAGAGAGAGAGAGAGAGAGAGAGAGAGAGAGAGAGAGAACGACAAAAGTCCCAACCCTGTCCAGCGCAGCTCATCTGAAGCAAGTCGTCAACAGCAACTCATAAGAAAGGTTGTTGTGCTGAACACTCGCTATACGATGTCACATTTGGAGGGTAACTGTGATTGGCAAGCTGCAAGTGGTGACGTCATCCAAAATGGCGGTCATGACAACACCCCAGCCTTATGAGTTGATGTTGAGAAATTTTTAGTACCAGTGCCAGTGGACACACACACACACACATACTTGACTGGAAGGCCCATGTAAATAACACAGTCAAGGCAGCCTCGTACCGTCTCTACATGCTACGAAGACTTAGGTCACTTGGGACACCCACGTCAGAGCTGAGGACCATCTACAACGCCTTTATTCTCCCCAAACTAACGTATGCGTCACCAGCCTGGTCGTCTTCTCTCAACTCCACCCAACAACGTCAGCTAGAGAAGGTACAGAAAAGGGCCTGCAGAATCATGCTCGGCGCAGAATACTCCGGCTACACCAATGCTCTCTCCACCCTGGAAATGCCATCCCTCGGTGACCTCCACCACCAAGCACTGGAAAGGTTTGGCCGTGGAGTACTGCACCACCCTCGCCATCGCCACCTCCTGCCACCTGCAGCCCCCCACCCACCTCGCGCAGTCCGCCACTACAACAAAATTCAGCCCATAAGAGCCCGCACCGATAGATATAAGAATAGCACCATCCCATCTATTGTTAAAATAATAAACAACTCCTGATTTATGTACTGTATAGCCCTGTAAATGTATTCAATGCATATTATATCATTATGTCTAAATCTAATGTAAGTCTGTATATTTTCAGCCACCTGCTGCAACTCTATTAATAAACCGTTTATTATTATTATTATTATTATTATATATATATATATATATATATATATATATATATATATATATATATATATATATATATATATATATATATATATATATATATATATATATATATATATATATATATATATAAATAAACTAAAAAAAATATTAATGTTTTGAATTTAATACGACAAGGATTTTTTCTCACTTATATGATGACTTAATGATAATAAGTTGTAATTGATAATATAAATTGATAGCAACTGATGTTACTAATAATAATTAATAATGGTATGCAGGATTATTAATTAATAGTAAGGGTTGGGAAGTACAATTAGAGGATGTTGGAAAACTTCGTCAGGTTAGAGAGAGAGAGACTCGGACCTTCGTCAGGTAGTGGTAGTGGTTCAGGCGTCGTGGCCAGGTTTTCTGGTTCCAGTAATCAATAGTAACTCATAAGTTGGGTTGTTCTTGTGACTGTCAGCTAGATGATGTCACAGTTTGGAGATTGTCTAGACTCTAGAGGAACTGTGATTGGTTGTTGAGGACCACCAGCTCTGACAACACAAATTGGTGAGTGTCCAGAAGCATTGCGATTGGTTGATGAGCT